ATTTATCCCTTTATCTCATGCAATGGACTTCTCTCGTTTCTTTTACAATTTTTAAATTTCAAGGTCTTTTTTTCTACATGTTGTCTCACTATCCCTTCTCTTTTGTTTTCCTTTATGTAGACTGTCTTCCATCTCTCTACTTTTAGGTTTCTACTATTAAGACTTTTACAGCAGTGTAAAGTCATGTATTAAATTTTTCTAATCCATTCAATCACTTTATATCTCTTGACTGGATAACAATCCACTTATGGCAATTACAGATAGGTAAGTACATCTACCACCGTTTTATGACATGTTTTCTGGTTGCTTTATAGATACCCTAGGATTTTTTCTTTCGTTTTGAAATTTCTTCGAATTGAGTTTACAATATAATTATATGATCGCCTCTTCCCTTGTCTGACAGCTTTCTGTGATGGAACAGTTTGAATTTTTTGTTGTTATTGTTTTGTGCAAGTAGTACAGTCTTTTGCTTTTTGATTCCTCAAAGGCTTTAATAAAAACAACTAATACTCTTGTTTCTAGATTTATTTTATTTTATGCATGTCAGTGTTTTATATCTATCTCTGTGTACCCCATGAATGCCTGGTTCCCACAGAGGTCAGAAGAAGGTGGTAGATCCGCCAGGACTACAGTAACACATAGTTATGAACCACCTTATAGATTCTGGGAGCCAAACCACAGTCTGATGCAAGAACAAAACATGCTCTTAACCACTCATCCTCTCTCAGCCCCAACAACTAATAATTAGAACAAGCTATTTGAAGTTTATTGCAACTTGTAGAGAAACTGCAGGGTCACTCCATTTTATGGCTATTTTTAACTTTTTACATCTTTATGTAATTTGTTTATAGTGTTTTTTTATTAATCTTCATGCTGAAGATCACATTCTCTCTTCTGTACCACACTCAGGGTGTTACAATATGTTATATATTATTGATACCACTGGCCTTGGAACTTTCCTCTTTTATTTCATCCACTACCAGCTTTGGGTTTCAGCTTAGAGAACACATTTAGAAATGTCTGTAAGACCAAAAAAATCAAGTGAAGTTCTTTGGTTTTCACTTGGGGAAACCGTTATGTCCCCCTCATTTATCTCACTTGTTTGTTTTGAGACAGTTCTTACTTTGTAGCTTAAGTTGGTCTCCAACTCTTGGCGACCGTCCTGCCTGGGCCTCTTGAGTACTGGTGTGGGTGGAAATGACCAATGTCTCTCTGAGTTCGGGAGAACTATTTGTCCAAGACTCTTAGTCTGAAGATTTTTCCATTTCTTTTCCTCCAGAACTCAATTCACCTCTCTTGAACTGCATGAAGTCTTCTAAGAGCTACTTCGCATATGACCTCCCTTAAACTTGGTGTTTCTTATCTCTTGCTGCTTTCAGAATTCTTTATTTTTGATTTGTTACAGTTGATCGTGGTTAGTGAATTCCTCTTTGGACTGAATTTGGATGAAGGCTTCACAACTTCCTCTATCTATTATTACCTTTCACTAAATTTAGGAAAACTTCAACCATCCCATCCTTATTTTTTTTCTTTTCCTGTTCTCTATTTTTTAATGAAATTTCCCCTCCCCTTTGGTATCTTGGTGGTATCTTGATAATTCTCAAAAGCTTTCTTATTTTTTACTCCTGTCCTTTCAATAATAACTCAAGTGACTTGTGTTTGAGCTCAGTGGTATTTTTACATACCATAATCTAATACTGAAGCTTCTAGTTGAACTGCTTGCCTCAGCCACTGTGTTCTTTATCTCGTGGGCTTGTATTATTGGCTTCTCTTTGTCAAAAAATTTTTGCTCTGGTCACAAAGTTTCATTTTCCAGACTTTGTTTAATTTTCTGTCTGTATTTTCTTGCAACTCTCTGCATTCTGTTCAGGGTTGCTCTGAACGCAAGGTCTTAGTTTACCCACGTGGGTGACTGTGCATTTTATGGAAGCTTCCCATTCTGGCTTTCACAGGTATTCCTTATTGGAAATTCCACTCTCCTGACTAGTCTAGCTAAGGATACTGGATGGACCCGCTGAGAGCAATTCCAACGTGGAAACAGTGCTGTAAGATTCTCCAGTGTTGTGAGGTTACTTCCTGTGCCCTGAGATGATGCAGAGTCATATGAGGACACTGACCAGAATGTAGTCAGTCAGTGCTCTCTTCAGATAAGATAGATACTGCCCCATCCTCTCATCAAACAAGATGTAAGGCTGAAGGATCCAATTAAAAGGTGGGGTACAGAACTAAACAGAGAATTCTCAATAGAGGAGGCTAAAATGGCCAAGAGATACTTAAGAAGGTGTTCAACATCCTTAGCCATCAGGGAAATGCAAATCAAAACAACTTTGAGATACTCTTGTCAGAATGGCTAAAATCAAAAACACCGAAGGCAATTTATGCTGGAGAGGATGTGGAGGGGGGGGGGGACACTCCTCCACTGCTGGTGGGAGTGCCAATTCGTACAGCCACTTTGGAAATCAGTATGGAGATTCCTCAGGAAAATGGGAATCAATCTACCACAAGACCCAACAATTCCACTCTTAGGCATATATCCAAAAGAGGCAAATTGATACAACAAGGGCATCTGCTCCACTATGTTCATAGCAGCATTATTTGTAATAGCCAGAACCTGGAAGCAACCTAGATACCCCTCAACTGAACAGTGGATAGAGAAAATGTGGTAACAATGGAATCTTGAAATTCGCAGGTAAATGGATAGCACTGGAAGAAACCATCCTGAGTGAGGTAACCCAGTCACAAAAAGACAAACATGGTATGTACTCACTCATATATGGATGTTAGACATGGATCAGGAGAGTGCCAGTCTGCACTTCCAATGTCAGAGAGTCTGGGAAACAGGAAAGAACATAAAAGATATGCATGGTACCCAAGAGAAGAGAAATGAGGCAAGATCCTCTGAACAGATGGGGAACACGCCGAGGGGTGTGGGGGGAGCTGGGAAATAGAGAGGGGGAGAAGAGGAAGAGAGAGTAGGTCAGGGGGGAACAGGAAGGTTGACTGGGGGGGTAGAATAGGGGGAAGAGGGAATCATAGGTTAGAAGACAGATCAGGCACCAGTGTGACCTCTAATGATCTAAAGGGATGACACCAATTGGCAAGCTAAGCAATAGTGTAGAGACCATCTCGAATGCCCATTCCTGATAGTGAACTTGATGTCTATAACCATCCTGGAGCCTTCATCCAGTGACTGATGTAAGCAGAGGCAAACACCCACAGTTAAATACTGAACAGAACCCAAGGAACCCAGTGACAGAGAAGAGCGATGAGCAAATTGGCAAAGAATGGGCTGGCAAAACCAGCAGAAACAGCTGATCTGAACAGGGGAGAGCTCGTGGACTCCAGACCGACAACTGGGAGGCCAGCATGGGACTGATCCAGACCCCCTGAATGTGAGAGTCAGGGAGGAGACCTGGGCAACCTATGGGGTCCTGAGCAGTGGATCAGTGTTTATCCCTCAAATACTAACAGACATCGTGTGTCCATAGCACAAAGAGGGATGCTCTCTCAGCCTGGACTCTTAGGGGGAGTGCCTGGACCCTACCCTGAGTCAAATGACAGACTCTAGATATCCCCTATGTGGAAGGAATTGGCAATATGGTAGGAGGATCGGGGGATGGAGGGGTGTGGGAGGAGGGGAGGGAGAGGGAACTGGGATTGACATGTAAAACAAGCTATTTAAAATTAACATTATAAAAAATGGAAATACAAAAAAAAACAGATGTAAGGCTCTCTCTGCCGACTAAACAGTAGTGCTGTTTGGAAATTGTAGTGGGAAAGTTCTCAAAGCAATGTCCCAGGTTTTATAAGGTCTATAAGGATGATGTTCAGCTGCCAGGATTGGAGTGAGTCAGAAATACCTGCTCTGGCATTCCAGCCTTAGAAACACTCAAGCAGAGGCCTGCGAATTAGCAGAACTGCTACTGCACCACAGGGGCTGGTTGATGTCATACGTTCTCATTTACAGATATTGGCCTCCCCAACTCAATGTATTTTTCTCATCACTGTGAACAGATATCTGACAGAGCAACATAACTTTACTTTGGAGTACAGTTCACAGGATATAGTCCATCATGGTGATAAAAGATATGAAAGCGACAGGAGCTTGCAACAAGGGCTCTTGTCATGTGTACTGACCAGGAAGCAGAGACACTCCAGGTTAGAAGTGGGGCAAGACTATAACTCTCAATACCCCGTCCCCAGTGATACACTGCCTCTGGACCACCTTCTTTAGCTATGCTCTTAAAGAACACTTCAACAGAAAGCCAGGAGTTTGTAGGGGAACAGGTCAGGAACTTGAGCCTGGCAGGTTGACAGGCTCCGTTCATGTGAAACCATTCTGCTCCCAAATTTCTCAGTGGTGCACCTCCATCATTCAGAATACAGCACCACCAGCCACTTTCACGTTGGTCCATGAGGTGTTCCATACTCAACTCCAGAGTCTTGAGATATGCACAAGGACCCTCTTGTCTACTGTTAGATGCATCGCTGGGATGGAGGCTGAAATCATCTTTCTAGTGATATCTCCTCAGGATGTGTTTTGGATGAAGGAGAATATACAGTAGCATTTAAAAAATTCTTGAATCCATAATGAAGCACATGCAAATGGGCAGTAATACTAACAAATGGCCTTACTATCAACAATCTTTGAGTAAATACAAAGGAAAACTACAAATGAGATTCAAATGCATTTGGTCCTAGAGCTGAAAGAAGTAGACACATGCCCCGATCCCTAACTCAGGAGCAATCTCCAATTGATAACCACTTGAATAGGAAAATTTAGTTTCTTCCAAGGGAGTTGTACTGGTGAAAGAAACCGGTAAGAGTAGGCTGCATGCCTAGCAACATAAAACCACTAGAAGATGAACTCAGCAGCATCTTTGGGAGTTCCTTGTCTCATAATGTTGTGTCAGGATATTTCCTTTTAAAAAAATACTGTGTTATTTTTGTTTTATTTCATTTTATGTATTTTTTCTTCTTCTTCTTCTTTTCACCCTACAGGTCCTGTGTGTATACATTATGGCTTCAAGTTTAGTGTGTTTACAGATTTCCTGAATACACAAACAAGTGGGTCTCTGTTTCTTATGGTTTTCCTTGTGCCTTTTCCTTCTTTTTGTTTATTTTGTCTAATTCTGACATGCAATCTTTTATTTTATCTTATTCTATTATACCTTAGAAGCTTATTGTTTCCTAATGAGAGACAGAAAGGGGATAGATCCAGATGTGAAGAGAGGTGGGGAAGGGTTAGGAGGAGTAGGAGGGGAAACCATGATCAAGATATATTATTTGATAAAATATCTATTTTCAATAAAAGAAAAATAAAAATGTCAAAGAAAACAAACTATCACAGTAAAGAGTTGGTGAAGATGTGGCTTAGCTGAACTTCAAATGCCAGACTTGTTGGGTGAAAATTGGAGATTTTGCTGCCAATATAGCTAAAATCTGAGTAGCTGTTCCAATATTGGCTATGTAGTGGTCAGGTAATTCCCTTCCAAGATACGTTCAACTCTATTCCAGCACTTGCTCTGAAAACTCAAAGTTGTTTCAACACAGTTGGCTTACTAGCAGAAATTTTGACAAAATGCATATCTTACATCTCTTTTCAAAAAAATTTCCTTTGTTCTCCTATATACACCTTCTTGCTCACTTTAAAATTAACGGCCTCTTTTCCAATTAATTTGTATGAGTATATTACTAAATACATAAGTACAGCCTGCTCAGTCTGTACAATGTTACTTGTATGTATGTCACATTTCTTTACAGGCAGTTTCATCAGAAAGACAAGGTGACCAAATTTACATAGAAACATGCAAAGCAATTATGTACGTCAAGCGTCTATCAGATTTGTCAGTTTACTGGCTGGACTGCCCTACAAGAATTATTTTTATGTTTTTATGTTATGTAATCACACACACACACACACACACACACACAGGCACACACACACACTAGCACGCGTGCATGTGTGAGTGTGTCTGTGTGTGTGTGTGTGTGTGTAAACAAATACTCATTCAACATCTCAAACACATTGAGTCCTAATTAAAGATATTAGGCAGGAGTCAAAGAAGAAGGCCGCAGTAGTTTCATGTGAAGGTCTTAAATGAAATCTGCCAACGCGCTCCTTTTATCGTTACTAGCTCAGTGGTTTCAAATATCACTGCAATTTCCAAGATTTGAGATTTTCAGATAAAAATCATAGCTTAGATTAGAGAGCCACAAAGAATTCCTAGCAGTAATATGTTAATTGAAAAAAGCTACATATTTGATTAAGAAAAATGCCATTGTTTTGATAAATCAGCTTCCATTATAAACTTGGAAAAAACCCACATCAAAAAAATTGAAGACTCCAGGATGGCGTTAGAGCCTTCATCCAGTAGCTGATGGAAGCAGAGATCCACAGCTAAGCCCTGAGCCAAGCTTCTGGAATCCAGTAGTAGAGAGGGAGGAGTAAGGAACAGAGGATCAAGACCACACTGGGGAAACCTACAGAAACAGCTGACCTGAGCAAGTCGAAGTTCACAGACCCCATTCTGACAGCTGGGGAACCAGCATAGGACTGAGCCAGAACCCCTGAATGTGGGTGCCAGTTGGGAGGCCTGGGCAGTCTATGGGGCTTCTGGCAGTGGAACCAGTATTTATCCCTAGTGCATGTGGAGTGGACTCCCACTCTCTCAGCCTAGATACTCAGGGAAGGATGTAGTTTCAGACTTTGATTATCCCCCATGGGAAGCCTCATTCACCCTGGGGAGTAGATGGGAGGTGAGATGGGGGGGGTTGATGGGGGATATGGGAGGACAGAAGGGAGAGGGAACTGGGATTGGTATGCAAAATAAGATCATTTTATATTTAAATAAAAATCCATTTAAAAATAAAAAAGAAACAACCCCAAGAAATTTTTAAAAATTGAACAAAGAAAAGCAAAAGTTTGCCCAAGTCTTTAAGGGTTTAAAGCAACAATCAGTAGCCAGACTAAGAAAATGTGTCACACCTCTCCACTTTTAAGGTTTCAGCTTTCCGGTTCCAGAAACTTCAACCACTTCATACCAAATCCCAAGCTGTACCCTCTGATGTTTACTTCCTCAAGCAAATCTCATGTAGTTCACAAGGTATAGTATCACATCAGTTTCAGTACGTAGGTTTGTAACCACCCGAAATAGACAGCATCCTCCTATTATTTTTAGTTTAGTTGCAACTGAAAAAAAAATCAGGACTGTGCCTTTAATCCATTTTCTTCATAAGATGTGTGGGCGTTTCCTCCATTTTGTCATTGCTTTTGTCTTTGACCATTCATTCCATCATGCATACAATTGGTTGTGATCACAGTCACCTATCCCAATACTCCACACACACATTAAGCCTGGCAACTAGAGTTCAATCCTTGGGACCAACATGATAGAAGACAACCAGCTTCTAAAAGTTGTCCTCTAACTTCCACACCGCTTTCTTCCAGCTTTAGAGCTTTACAAGTCTGAGGCCAAGGCGTCAGCAGGTTCAGTCTCTGATGGCAGTTTGCTCTCAACTTCCGACGTCGCTCTTTGTTGCTGTATTGTCAAGTACAGAAGAGGGGGAATTTGAAGGGCTTGGTAGCCTCATTCAGAAAAGCAGTGAACCAGCTGGGCGGTAGGACCACAAGCCTTTAACCCCAGCACTCGGGAGGCAGAGGCAGGCAGATCTCTATGAGTTCAAGGCCAGCCTGGTCTACAGAACGAGTTCCACGACAGTCTACAAAAGCTACAGAGAAACACTGTCTCCAGAAAAACCAAAAAAAAAAGGAAGAAAAAATAAAAATAAAAGAAAAAGCAATAAACATTCTACAAAGTCGATGTGGTCCTGATAAAATATCAGCATTTTCTTTGCAAAATTTTATAAGCTTATTTTTAAAGATACATGGGATACACAAAAATCAACATGAGAGAATCTTAAAGAAAGAAAACATGAAATGGTTACTGCATCTTGTATCAGATGTCATAATTACTACAAAACTGTAGTTGTTAAAAAGAGTATAATTTACATGGTGGATGTCAGTGTAGAAAACAGATGATAAAGGAAAGGGTAAAGGAATGTGAACATTAAAACTAAGAACTGTGTTCACAAAGAGTCAGCATCAGAAGAAAAGAAGGCGGCGGAATTAGTAATGTGCAGAATGACTTGTGCCAAGAATGGGTAGAGGAAGCCTAGTATTAATGGCAAAAGACGAACAAAGATTATTCACAAAGGAGAATATACAATATAGAGATAAGAAACAAGTAAGTTCCATCAGTAATCACAAAAACTAAAAATAAAACCATGACAAACTCACTATAAATTAAGGGAAAAACGCTTGACTGAGAAGACTGAGAGGGGCTGGGTGATGACTCAGCAGGGGAAGTGTTTGCCATGTTGTCACCAAGGCCTGATCCGTCTCCATAGCAGCCACCTAAAAGCTGAATGTGGTGCTTGTGCTTGCAATTCAGAGACAGATGTATCTCTTGAACTTTCTGGCCAGCCGGCCTAGCCACGTCAGTGAGCTCAACGTTTAGTGAGAGACACAGCCTCAAAAAACAAATCAGGAGGCAACTAAAGAAGACATTGGGTGTCTGTCTACCTCTGTTCTCTACATGCCTACAAACATATACATACATGCATACACATATACATACGTACATACATACATACACACATGGAGTGAGGAGAACAAATTAAACACCACATCTAAAAGGGCTGACAATACAACATATTGATGAGGCATTGTGGTGTTGTCTCCGGAAAATGAAGATGTGTGTATTATACTTGCGTAGTGCGATAGAAGCGCCTCTGAAGCTCTTTTCCTTACCCTGAGAGCACGGCCTCACAGTTCAAGGTAACCATGGACCCCACAAGGTCCACTGGACAAACAAGGGTAAACAGCATGTCACTTTGGAGTCTTGACCATAAAATTGCCCTCTGAAATGATTCATGTTGCCCTATCGATTTGGCAGGATCAAGAATCACTAAGGAGGCAGACCTCTCCGAATGTTTAAGAGGGAGTTTCTATATTGGGTTGGTGGAGGGGAGTGTGAGCACCCTGAAACTAGGTTGTACTATGTCATGGTCTGGGGCCCAAGGCTGAGTAAAAATGAGCATGTGAGCTGAGCAGCAGACTTCATCTCGGCTCTCCAATGCAGATGTCATGTGAGAGCTGCCCGACACCATGCCTTACCGCTGTGTGCCCAAACTGTGAGCCAGAATAAACCTTGCCTTCCTCAAGTTAATTTTACCAAGGATTTTGCCAGGAGGACAGAAGTAAAAGTAAATAACACACCCTCTGTTTTCCTCCGTTCTCACTTCCTCCTTTTAATAGGATTCTAATGTCCTGAGTGACCTTAGAAACAGGACTTACAGTGAGTGTTTCTAAAGCCGGGGTGCTTTTTAAGAGATTTTTATGGAACTTCTACTGTGTTAAGTCACTGCTATTTTAGGATTAATGCATGAAGCCAGCTAGCGCATTGTGTACGCACATGAACACACCACACACATGCACACACACACACACACACACACACACACACACACACGCACAGAGAGAGAGAGAGAGACAGAGACAGAGACAGAGAGTCATATTCATGTTTCTCAGACTGCTTCTGATTCACATTGCAACACTTCAAAAGTAACCTCCTGTGATATTCATCTTGCTTCGTCCTCAGTGTGAATTAAGAGTAAGTCTTGTAACCTTCACATTCTCACTAGTTAAGGGGAAATATAGTCATGAGTTTGTCTGTCTGGGTTTACTTCTACACAGGCTCACAGGTTTCAACAGAGCTTTTGCTACTTTTGGCTGGATGATATGAACAAGTTATTAAGACCTTGTGTGGATTTCTGTGTGTGTGTGTGTGTGTGTGTGTGTGTGTGTGTGTGTGTGTGGATTTCTGTGTGTGTGTGTTTGTTTGTTTTTGAGACAGGGTCTCATGGAGCATAGTATGGCCCTAAAGTCACTACGTAGCTAAAGATAACCTTGAAATCTTTATTCATCTGCCTCCACCTCTCAAATCCTGGGGCTATAAGCAAGCATCAGAAAACACAATTACCTTTTTCTCAACTTATATATTATTGCAAAGGCTGGTGAGACAGCTCAAAATGTCTTGCTATCAAACATGAGGTCCTGAGCTCAATCCCCAGGACCTTCATGATGGAAGGAAAGGACAGACTCCCACTCACAAATTGACATCTAACTGCCGTATATACATTACGGCACATGTGCACAGGATAGACAGAGAGAGGAGGGGAGGGAGAAGGGTGGGGAGAGGGAGGGAAGGAAGGAGGGAAGGAGAGAGGAAGGGGAGGAGGAGAGAAAATAAACAAATTACATAATATATACATATACATATATTCATCAAGAACAGGATAGGCAAATACTATAAGCACATGGACTCTGGCACGAGACGAGTTGATTTAGAAGCCCAGTTTTTCCAGTAACAAACACTGGAGCACATTCTCATGGACAGGCAATGAATGTACTGAGTCAACACTCCAGCTGCAGAGTCAGACTTCCTGGGTTCACCATCTGACACCTTTCTCAATGTGTGTTTACTCTGGGTTAATGTGAAACTTCAAGGCTACTCACTTGCTGGTGCCTCCTTCAACGATGTCCTCTTTATTCTACATTTGTCAGTATGCATCCTGCCTCTGTAGGTCAAAACTTTCAAGCTGCACAGAACCTGACCCCAAACTTGGCTCCTTGGCTGTGGTCTGGTAAAGTTATTCTGGAAATGTGTCATTCCTTGTGCTTCAGTTGACTCATGGGAACCTACTACATCATATTGCTACTAGGATGCAGTGAGGGTTTTCATAGAGGATGTTTAGACCATTGTCATACATGTGCCTATTCTTATATGTGCTGCCTTCTGTAATTCCCTTTTGGGGGTCACTCTTTATCTGTTCCATCATGGCCCTATTGGATTTAATGGTTTTTTTGTTTTGTTTTGTTTTTTTGGGGGGGGTAAATTTAGCCTGAGACAGACTTCCTCTTAGTCCTTCATCCATCCCTTTGTGTCAGTGAACATCTCACATAGAAGCCTCCTGGGTCATTTATAGTCTGGGTTTTATCTATTTGTTAGATCTGCTTAGTCTCTTAAACCTATTGGGCTGTTTGTGGATTATAGCATGACAAGTTTAGTTCACACTTGCCCACTAAAACTACCTGCCAGGAAGGGTTTCTCAATAGCAAAATTGGCAATAAGTCTCCTTCCATTCCATGGGAGAAAATCATGTGCCAGGATGTCTCTGTGATATAGTTTTGGACTCTGGTTTAAGGAACAGAGTCCTTACCATTGTCTTCCTACACGTGTTCTACCATGAAACGAGTGTGGGAAATGACCGGACATTTTAATGCTGAAAGGCTGGATTTGGGGATGTAACTATGTATATGACTTCTGTGCAATGAAGGCATTATCTTATCCTAGACACCTTGAGCACCTGGAAAACTTACTATTACTCCTGATGCAAACATCATCATGTCACCAGGTACTGTGGTCACACTTCTCCATAATCCAGAGAGCTCAGTCCTTCCTTGGTTCTCACAGCTATATCGTTGGTAATGGCTTCTGGATAACTATGCCTGATCATATTAGAACTCTAAGAAATCTTTTTAGTGGCAGCTCCTTTTAATTAAGTGCAAAATTATCGAGTGAATGTGTTCTATATCTATGGCTTGGGACCTGCTACCCAGAATGTCCACTGCCTGCCAAGATCAAACCAGCAGCGTCTTAAGGTAAGAAACAGGACAGAGAATTAAATGAGAAAGAAGAAAAACACGTCCATAAGCCAAGAAATGACCTTTAAAGATCTCTGACACTGAGAAAACAAGGAAGTTCAATTACATATATTCTAACAATTTAATTGAATGGTGATATTTATTCCATAGAAAAAACAAACTTCTCTTCAACAAGGAAGGATCCCGATTAGGTAGGTGATTCACCTCATGGACCTCCCTGCCAGCCTTTCTGCTTCCTCCGTCAGTATATAAAACCTGTGCTGAGCACCAGCAACCCTACTGCTCTGGTGTCCTGATTTCTCCACCATGCACCGTCTCTCACTTATGTTCGGTGCTGCCACCCTCTTGGTCCTGTGCCTGCAGCTAGGGATCAACAAGGCTCAAGATAGCACGTGAGTCAAACCCTTCCTTTTTTCTGCAGTAAAGCCATAGAGAGGGTTTCCCTCCTGTCCTGGAAACCTGCACGCCCTTTTCTGTAGAGTTTTAGACTGCAAAGATCTGTAACTTTGGAAGCTCTCCTGGACTTCATGGCAGGTTCCATTCTCTTAGTAGGCTTCATTCATTCCCTTCACCTTTCCTCTGGATGTGTAGGCTTGCCTAAGAAATAAAATCCCCACTGTACATGAGTTTGCCATAAACAATTAGTCTTACTCTCGCTGATCCACTATTCAGACTTTTTCTGTTTACCTTAAAAAGGTAAAAAAAAGTCTGTCAGTTCTAGCAACAGTTTCAGATGTCTTTGGCAGGAGTCACTGAGAATGAGAGCTTTCATCACTGCCCCATAGTCTCAGGTTGAGCTAGCCCAACAGGCAAAATAGATGTTATTCCTATCATAAAACCAAAAGACAAACACTAGGACCTTTAGTAACAATCACACTGGGACCTGGAAGCCATCATGCTGAAAGTCCATGATATATATTTTATTTTTAAATTTAAATTAGAAACAAGGTTGCTTCACATGTCAATCCCAGGTCCCTCTCCGTTTCCCTCCCCTCCTCCCGTGCCCTCACCCCCCCCTGTTATCCCCTCATTTCTCCAGGGAGGGTGAGGCCCTCCATGGGGGTGTCCATAGTCTGTCATTTCGTCCAGGGCAGGGCCTAAACCCTCCCCCAAGAGCTCAGGGTGAGAGTGCATCTCACATTGCTGGATGGGAGTCCTAAGTCAATTTGTATACCCGGGATAAATACTGATCTACTACAAGAAAGCAAAAAACCTGAAAGAGCGGAATGGAGTAAGAAATGAAGCCAGAGGCTATGGTGGGTGGAGAAGCAGAGTTACCCAGTCAAGCCAGAGATCTTAACATTTGCAGCAGCCTAGGGTGCCTGCCGCTTTCTGGATTATGACCCTTCAGGTGCTCTGGGAATCTCGGCCAAATGTCTTAGCCTAGCGGAAATGTCAAGGTTTTAAGGATCTGATACAAGCACCCTGAGCAGTTTGGACGGCATTCTTCCCAGACCAGAGGGAAACTCGTGTTGAAATAAGCCTTACAGTTAAAGTGACTAGGCCATCACAACCAGCCAACAACTCTCCTATGTTTATTATAGAAGGCCCACCTTGTATGGAATCCCTATCCTCTGAAAATAAACTGGCATAGTTAATTGCTATAGCTAACCTGGTCAGGCTACTGACCCTTAAGCTCAGGCACAAAATGGAAATTTTGAAGACACTTGGTCTTCATGTATCTTTCCTAGGAAATGAGTCCTAGACAGTCGGTAACAAGAATAAAAATGTAACATGTTTTGCCGTAGGGCAGTGGAACTATGAATCATACTGTCTAAGAATCCCTTCCTACCCCCATGGCACCAAAGACCTCAGCCAGGTTTCTTAGTGAAGAAGACACAATCCCCCTTGGCCCACGGCAGCCTTTCTTGACTAAAGAGAAAGACGTGGCTCTTGCCTTCATCTTGGGCTCTTTTTCTCAGCCATGGTGTGTTCACAATTACAATCTGTACAGATTTGCTGTAGACCTAAATATATTCGCATCCCTAGGCCGTATCCAGGAACCTTAAGGGAGGGTCCTCACTGCAGATCTATGAACTCCTCCAGCGTGGAGTTGCTTACATGTGGATATAAAGGTCTCTCCCTTTAAGGATGACTGGACTCTTCCATTTCATTCTGCAGACAAGGAGCTGGCAAACTGTAGGCTGGCGCTTCTCAACCATCCTAAAGCCGCAGCCCTTTTGTATAGTCCCTCATGTGGTGGTGACGCCCTCATGTGGTGGTGACCCCTCCACCGTTAAGTTATTTCCTTTGATACTTCATAACCATCATTTTGCCGTTGTAATGAATTGCAGTGTAAATAACTAGAGCTTCTGATGGTCTTGTGTGACCGCCCCCCAAAGGGATCGTGGCCCACAGGTTGAGAGCTACTGCTGTAGGCTGTTAGGAAATGGCATGAGACAGAAGATGGCTTTCCACTTTGTGATACTTGAAACTGGAGGGGAAAAAGGTACTGCGTTTTAAGCAGCATGTCTGCTGCCCTGTTAGACAAAGGAAATCATGCAAACGGGCCGATGCACACAGGTTCCTGGGGATTCTGATGTTGAGCACTGCAAGCTATCCCTCTCCCTCCTCTGCTCTGTCCCCGGGCCTCCTTACAGCTTGGCGCTTTTCCCATGTGCAGGTTTCTGATCTCTGCACTCTGTTTTTCTCTCCCCAGAAGTGGTCGAAAGGAACTTATATTTTATTTAGATGTTCCACGATATGCAAGTAAAAATGAAGAGATTACTGTGAAACTTGGAATAAAAACAGAATATAGAGAATGTTTTGTGGTAAGTAGATACTTTAGACAGTGACTCCGAATCAAAACCTGACTCCTGTGTTGTGAATGGGATTGAATTCATCTCTTGTGTCAATACTGCATGATAAACTTGATAAAAAACAAACAGACAAACAAACCAAAAAACTCCTACATGTTTTGTTACCAGAATCTCAGAATAATGTTGAGAACTTGCAGCAGATGATGTTTCCCAATTTTTACAGCTGATGGTGCCCTGGTCCAGAGGGGTCCAGGAAGAAAAAGAGTGAGAAAGAGGTGACAAACGGGTAGTGTTTCTTCCAGGGTCCTAAGCATGAGTCGATTTCGATAAGGGTTTGGGGAGCAGGGTTTTCATACGAACTTCCTGCAACCACAGCCATAAGTTGGAGAAGAGGGAGGACGAGAACGCAGGGGATCTGGTTCTTCAGAAAGCCCAAGAGCTCAGCCTGCTTCCCTCTTGCCCTTACTCTGCCTCCTGACCTGACAAGAGGCTGAGATGCTTCAGCTTTTCCCAGTGTGTTGGCTCTCAGAGAGTAATAAGAGTCCATAACTATTACAGTACTCATCACAAGGCATAATTTTGCTCAGCTGTTTAGGTGGATGCCACATATTCCATATTGATCAAATCCTAGGCTAATACGGAAGGGGGTTCCCAGCTCTATACCCTGGACAACCCGAAGATGGAACACAACATTGTGTTACACTTCCCTAGAGTGTGACTAACTTAATTCAAGTGAGATCTCAAGTACAATGATCAAATAAGGAACGAAATAGTACCAGAGAAGACCATTCATTAAGATGTAACCTAGAAATAGCCTCATCCTGATAAAAAGAAAGATTCTTGGACATAGTGAAAACACATCCTACTAATTTATCTTTTTTTGTCTGTTTGCAAGACAATAACATGAATTCTGCTTGCTAATGTGGGTGTAGGATGGAGATAGATTCATAGTTTTGTAATTTGTGTTGTGTTAGTCATAACCACAGATAAGGCTGAGCAAAATGTTTACACAAGGAATACGAAAAGATCTCTGTGATAAAGACAGTTTCTTGTGATGACAAACAATCGAAGGCTACCTGCACCCTTAAAGGGTCAATGTAATAATTGTGTTGAGCTCAACAAAATGGCATGTGATATTATAGTAAATAAATGTCTGATTTTAAGAATCATGCTTCTACTATAAAAGGACGATCATATAAAGAAAATCCACCCAAGGAGAAGCATAAGGGGTGAAAACTCCTTACACAGTAATTTTTTTCCATCAAGATTTGCGTAAAAGAAAGCTTTGTTGATTTGTTTTGAGCAGCCTCATTATTTTGCTCTGGCTGGCCTCAAACTCATTATGAGCTCAAGGTAGCTCAATGTTTTTCTGCATCAATGTATACTTCACTATGTGAGAAACTACCATTTTTAATAATGATGATAAAATTACAGTAGTCTATGGGTTTACTAATGGGAGATCCCCCAAATCTAACACACATGAAATGCAAGCAAATTTAAAGTCATTTATGAAGACACTGTCTGTGATAGTTGTGGCTGGTTCTGCTTGAGGAAGAAAGTACTACAATGGCCTTTGACATCATACCACAGGTAATGTGTAGCACATTCACTGGACTCTGATTTATTGTTTCAATCACTTAATTCTTAAAAATTCTAACTCATGAAGAGATCTTATGGCAAATATAGTAAAAAGGAAACAAGGTCTTCTCTCAATACCAGAACAGGACTCTCTAAGACATTCCATACTGAGTAGCACTCCAGTGCTATTATTGTTTAGGGGATTATCATTATTCAGTATGGAGCTGCCAGATGTCTGAGCAAACATCAGAGATGAGCATATGGCAGGTGTCTTCACCGCTATGCATCCCACCACCCTGATAATGACCATAAATTCAAGATAAAGATGAGTGCCGGCAGTATTTCAAGATAACTGAATCTGAAAATTGATATGAATTGCCTGCTTTCTGGTGGTAGCAAAAATCATACATACTCCTAATTTATTGTGTTGCATTGATGACTTTAATAACAGGAAGAATGTTAAATCTCATTTAAAGGCATTTTTCCCATCATTTTTTTTTCACACTGACTGAATTATAGTCACAGGTTCATCTGGGTAGACATAACCCTAAGACAAAAGTCCTAGGTTAGACACCAGAACCAGGAGCTGATATATACAGTTGTCTGAGGTCTTAAATTGACAAGCACTCTCAGGTTTTAAAAGCAAAGAAATTGGCCTCAAGAATTATTTGCTTACCTAACAGTGGCCAGACACGGACAGAAGGGGTAACTTTTGGATTTGCAGTTGGAATAAGTGGGAGCAAGAGATTAATTCAATTGCCATAGAGTTAGAAGTAGCTGCAGCTAGGGTTTGGCCATCATTCTCACAAAGCCTTGCCCTGGCGTGTACATTTAAACAGATGGGCTGCCATCTCACCGGGTCACAGAGTAAAAAATTCATACAAGCCATTTCCTAGAACTCTGGCTGGTACCAAAAGCAAGCCTTCACCCCACCCCACCCCACCCCACCCCACCCTACCCTACCCCAGGAGATAACCACAGTAGGATGAATCTCCACCCCACCCCAGGAGATAACCACGGTAGGATGAATCTCCTTTCCTGATGGATTCACTTACGTCCTCCTGAATACCATGCTCAGACGTTTCATGCATGAGTCTGGGGACGTGAAGAGGAAAAGTCTGGCAAAGCTTAACCTGTGGGATGATCACACAATGATGAAAGCAAAGTCTATGTTATTTCCTCTCTTGCATTGCCCTCTTCTTCCCCATTTCTGGACTAACTGTGAGCCGTCTCTCTCCACCAGGCCAAAGCTTTCCTTGAAAGTTCTGAAAAAATGGAAGGTAGCTTCAACTTTAAACAAACCCGCTGCGTCTGTAATGATCAAGTAAACCTCTACTGGGACTTCCCAGTCAACAGTAAGTAGGAGGAAACTACCTGCCAAAGAGGGAACATTTAGAAATATGACCACAGAACTTACAGGTGGAAGACTAGAAGGGCAAGGTGGTGGGTGGAAAGGAAGCCCAGGAGGACAATTCCTGAGTTCTAAAGTTATAGAAAACATTGCCTGAGAAAGACTAGATAGGCTATTGATTTGCAAATGATTTGGGGAAAGCAAGTCTTAGGAGGCAGTTACCTGGTCCTAGCAGGAAAAAAAAAGGAGCACCCCAAAGTGTCTGAGAGATGACCTTTGTTTTTATCTCTTCCAGAAACTATCACTTTTAAAGTATTGGTTCATCTTACTGATGACAAAAATATCTGCCCTAACGATGAGGCAGTGGTGCCCATCAAAGGAGACCTGTATTATACTTACCGTACTGTGGTTGTGACCTAATGGAAGCCTCTTGTGTGTCTTTCAAAACCAATGTAATTTTTCTCTAAGTAAAATTGACTGGAATATCCACGACAGTCTGTTAAATAAAATTCTTAGAAGCTTCTCCGTGTACTATTGTGTCTTGTCTCCAAAATCCATCCTCAATGTCGGCAAAATACCTCCAAATTCCTTACATTAGTCTTTCAAACAGCCGTTACTGATATTTTTATGAGTTCTTACAATGCATTGACACAAAGAAGGAAGGAAGGGCTGGAGTATTACCTCAGTGTCTTCCGTGCTTGCCACGCAGGTGTGAGGACCTTACTTTGGATTCCAAGAACCCATATAAAGCCAGAAGTGGCGGCACACATTTGAGATCCCGCTGCCTCTATGGTGACACAGGAGGCATTCTCCCCAGAAGCGCTTGGACAAGCTGCTTTTGGAGTATGCAGGGTTGAACAGTTGCAGATGCATTCTTAAACTGGGTAGATGGTAAGGACCAACACTTGATATTGTCCTTTTATCTTCATAAGTATTCCGTGGCACAGTAGCAAGCACACTCACCCATGCACAGAAACGCAAATGCACAACAGCAACAGCAAACCTTTAAAGGAAAAAAGAAACGAGGAGAGCCTCTCTCAAAAGAATAGAAAGGTCACTGCGATGGTGGTCCAAATGCTCAACAAATAAGAGGGAGAGCCAGGGCAGTGAACCGAGCTCTGTGTTATTGCTTGGCTTTTCTCCCTTCCAATTGCCCTCCGGGAGCTCCACCTTCAGATCCCAAGAGGTGGGAGTGACTTGACACCTGGGAGCTGGGACAGTCTGCCTTCCTTACTAGGGATGGTCGCACTGAGTGCCATTCTGCTGCTTCTTCTCGGCCAGTTACAAACGAGAAGGAATGACTGTATAGACTTCTGGACTGGGGAATTCAGGCATAGCAAATGTGGCTGGTTATGGACGAAGGCAAAGAGCCCTGAGATGCTCCCTCTGTAAGAGAGAGGCTCCGCCCACTGTTGCTTTTGCTGGACACAAGTGTCACAAAGTAAGTGGAGCGAATGCCGGCAGACTTTGGAAAGGCCGGTCTCAAGGACCCACAGCATGAAAAGGCAGCACACGCTCTGCAGGTAAGCTCTGTGGTGCTGGGTACGAACAAGTGGGAGGGATGGAGAGGTTGCTACAAGAAGAACCAGAACCAGACCTATCAAGCACACCTAGACAAGAGAATCAAATCGCATCCTCTCAGCCAGTGATCCTAAATGGGGATCCATATCCAGGAGAGGGAAGGAACGCTATTCAAAAGAGATTCTTTAAAATGCTATCCGGAATCCCGTGTGTCAAATATGGGTGCCAAAGCCCGTACTTCCTTCTGAAGGTAGCGCACTGTCTTTTATAGCGATTTCTCTTTGCAGAGTGGACAAGCTTTGTTTTCTTTAATTTTCTGTAGCTTAAAACACACAGCCCGGGTTGAGTCCAGTCTCTACTGCACCATTTCCACTAGATGATAATTTTTTTTTTGGTTTTTACGAGACAGGGTTTCTCTGTATTGTTTCGGAGGCTATCGGTCCAGCCCGGCCTCGAACTCACAGAGATCCGCCTGCCTCTGCCTCCCGAGTGCTGGGATTAAAGGCGTGCGCCACCACCGCCCGGCTAGATGATAAATTAGTGTGCCTCCCATCACATTTATAGTTTGTGGCCCTGCCTTTGAAGCTCTTGATAAGCGGTGTGTGCACACGACCCCTTGTTTTCTTGCGGTGTTCGGTATTGGAAATGTATAGAGTCCACAAGCATGCAACAAACTTACTTTGTGTAAAATAGTTCTCTAATGTAAACGGGATGACATCATTTCAGAAACCTGTTGGTCAAATCTGCAACCTTCTCCTGGTTTTACTAAACTATAGCTAGTATCACTAATCTGTGATGTGATTGAATATATGCCTATTCATCCAAAAGATCTCCCAGATGATGTTGAAAAAAATACAGGTCTGATTATGTAAAAGTTTGAGCCTTCTGAAGAACCTCCTACTCCATGTTTTTTTTTCTTCTTTAAACATCACTCAATCTTGAGCACTTTTCTACCTATAAAATAAGTATGGTTAAATACAAAGTTCCTGAGAACAATAAATACTGCTTCCAAAATTCAGGGTCTGCTTAGCACTCCCATGCTTTTATTAGATTTAGGTTTCACAAAATGTAATGCCCCAGTCCATTAAACACCTAAAATCCACTCTGTTACATGTATCAGGAGAGCTATCTATGGTGTCTATCCTGTTGTTTCCTATGCCAGATAAACTACTAACACATGATAATTTACCAACCTATGAATTAATATTGTATCCTGAAGCATGGGTTTCCAAGCACACACCAACTGATTACCCAATACCAAATGGTCGTCCTGAAGAGATATATACAAATAACATTATACAGACTAAGCAAGCTTTATTAAAGAATATATATGAATACACATATATGCACATAACAACAATGAAAAAAAAGCTATGAATTCAAGGATATATAGGAAGGTTTAAAGGGATGAAATGGAATGGGGGAATGATGTAATTATATTATAATTTTTAAAACTAAAAGATTTTTTTAATCCTGGAAGGCACTAGACTAGATAACAAAAGTCAACCCAAAAAAATAAATAAATCCTGTATGTTTCTCCACATGTTGGAACAGTCAAAGTCATAGAAATGAAGATTTTTTTTCATGTTTGACAACTGCAGATGTCTGGAAAAATCAGTCTTTGAGGTCCTGTCATTGTCTTTGCACATCCCCCAGTGTCTACACTGCTATGCCCAACAATTCTCACCTGCCACTATCCAAATCATTTCTAGCCCAGAGTACAGAGTCGTCAGAAGCACAGCCTGAAATTGGTCAATGGGAAAAGTAACACTTAAAAACCCTTGCAAGTCTTCTGCACTTGTTCAGCGTAGAAAGTCTTGTTTCTCTGGAGTGAGCAGTGGGTAGCACTGTCTTTGGTAATGTTTACCAAATATTTCCCTCAGGATGGTGCTGCAGTTTCACTGTGGTGGGTGACTCTCCTACTTTACCCCTAACTCAACTCATTGCCTTATACGGGGTCAACATCACACTTTGTAGCTGGTGTTCTCCACATTTTCAGAAGGGGAATTCACGTTTAAATCTTAGTCTTGATTGCCTCTCTTGGAGCACACTACATTAAGTATCCAGAATGTTCAATAAATACAGAGGATAAGCTGCGGGGTGCTATCGCCTCCTAAAAGTAGGTGGGGAAGGGGAGTGTTCCATCTTATCAGAAACCAGAGCATAAAATTATTACAGAACAGTTCTATATACATCTTTTGGGTGTGGACACTTTAGCTAAGGCCATGCTTTTATGAGACTTAATAAAACCAAAATAAGTTTCATTGGAATGTTAAGCTTCTGTTAAGAATTGTTGTAAGATAAGAAGAGCAAGCAGACAGTATTTTGGAAAAATAACCTGTAGCCATCATTTAAACTATTAATAAAATACGCATACCTGAAAGGACCAAAAATCGCAGGGAGGAGGATTAACCAAAACAGAGTTTATGTGAAAATGCTATCAGGGACCCTTCTACTATATGATAAGATATAAAATACAAAAAATCTAGGAGGTAGCTGTAATCTAGGAGGTAGCTGAGGTTTCCCATAAGTCTATCAGTTTAAGCCCTTTGCCTTAAATTACTGGTATTAAAATGTGCCAGAATGGGTTTGACATTTCCATTTTGTACTCCAACTATGCTAAGGTATTCTCTAGGAGAATATGAGATTCCTTCCTCAAATAAAATTAACATCTGGTTCTTTCTTGTAGCTTTCCAGAAATATTAAAAAAATAATCCCTAATGAGTCTCTGAATTTGACTGGAGTCATTTGTTAAAACACTGCATTTCACCTCTAATTTTGGTGATCTAGATCTCATCTCTTACAGTTAGTTCATCTGGTTGTTTATCAACTTAGTGTTTTCCAAAGAAAATACTTTGTTGTGTTTTTTTATTGTTCTTTAAGTCTATGTTCTATTAATGTCTGTCTTAATTTTGTTATTTCTTTTGCCACCTTTGGAGTTTAGCTTCTGGTTTTTTGTTTGTTTTTTTGTTTTTTAAGACCCTGAGGTGTGCCACTGTATATGTTATTTGAGATCATTCTGATGAGCACTCATAGCTACCAATGTCTTTCCTTTTTGAGGGAAGCAAATAACTCTGGAAGACATCTTGTTTCTCAATCTAAGGCAGAGTTATTTGCATGTTTGCATGAACTGCCACAACCTCTGTTTGCCTTGGGTCTTTTCTGTTGGACATGTGACTACACTTTTGTTCCAGTTGCCAGACAATTTTCTTATGACATTTGCTAATGACACTGACGAAAATCTACAAGTGGATTTTTTAAATATTTTACTCATTTAACTACTCCTTGTGTGTGTGTGTCAAGACACATCTGTGGAAGATGGAGGACAATTTTCTGGAGTCAGTTCTTTGCTTACATTTATGGGATCTAGAAATCAAACTCAAGTCACCAGGCTTAGTGTCATCTTGTCAATCCTACAAATGAGCTTTTTATGGTATAGATTTTATTTACCTGGACAATTGCCAAGTTGCTTTGTAAGACTTATCTAACTTCTAGCACTTCCTGACACTTGGGTGTGTGTACATCCAAGCAGCTTTTCCATTTGGACACTTGTTCCAAATGAGAAACTACGTCTGGGTTCCTAAAACGAAGCCCAAGGAGGAGAATGAGTTTTCTTTTAGTTGTTCAAAACAGAAGTTACTTGGAACATAACAGGGGCTCACTTAATGCTCTGGCTAATCATGAGGACAAAAATAAAGTTTAAAATAAACAACACTGATAGATGTTTTTTGTAGGGAGGGAAGTTTATCTGCAGAGCTAGTCTCAACCTGTGCTTCCTACGCTCCCCAACCACACATTTTCAGTGCAGGATCAAGTGGCTTCACTATCACAGAGAAACTCTGTAAGATTTTACTTTTTTCCTTTGAACCTTTCTCCCTTTTATTGAACTGGGATTCTCTTCTCATGCAATATAATCTGAATGTCGTTTACTCTCCCTCTACTCATCCCAGTTCCTGGTTCCTACCCGTCTTCCCCCATCCAGATCCCTTCCTGTCTTTCAT